TCCCCACACGTGCATTCCGAGAATTTTCTCGTTTCCGCTATCTGTACGCGAAATCTACGTTTCTGCTTTCCACCGACGAGCAGAGCGTCGGCGTCGGGAGGTGCACGTGCGTTTTTACCTAGAACGTGGAAAAATGGTTACGCCTTGTAACGTGACCCGGGACGATTATTTATGAAGGACCAAAGGTGCCTCGTGAAGAGGCGCTTTAGATCTTTTTCCAAGTTTACATTGTGTGTGTATATATATATATATATATATGTATTTTTTTTCCCCTTAGTACCGGTAAAACATTGTGGAGTCACCTTTATGTTTACTCAATGTACTTCAATGCTGACTCGATTCAGTTTTCTTGAGAAAAAGGATAAAGCTATTAAGGTTGGTTGCATCTTCGTGTAAGGGAATTGAAGATGCACCCGGTGCATCCTGTGGCAGCGGAGGTCGTTACTTCCTTAGCAATGAGGTCGTGTAAGCTGGTCCAGGTCGGGGGTGGGTGGATGCTGGGTAAGTAGGGGTTGTTGGATAGAATAGGGTAATTTAGGTTGGTACGCCTGTGGAATATTGGAGGAAGGTACGGACCCTGAAGGCCTGAACGACCTGTACCTCATTTTCTACGTCACTTCCTTTCGCTTCCGGTATTTGTCGTTGCATCCAGCACGGACGATTTCACTGCAAAGACAGTACAGAGACTTGCATAGTCACACGTGCCAGACGTTCCGGAAGTCAGTCGCTTCTTTTGAATCAGGCTACGTTCGCCTCATAGCTATCCAGCGATACTGGATATCTGCGCCTGTCCCACTTCCTTTGAAAATTGTTTTATATAATTTTTAAAAGAAAAATATTTTCCTACGTTATTTCACACCGAATCCTTATACATTTTCAGGGACAGTCGCGACCGATAGAAATCGGCCATTAACGTTTTCTAAATCCACGTGCTACTCGTACGTACACTCGAATCCACGTGTGACACATGTGCCCACATATCAACATATGCCTTCCGCGAATAGGAACGACCGACTCGCCAACCGCAGCCCACACACGTTACCGACGACACTTGCCGCAATTTTATCGGCTTGTGCGCCGCTTAGCGCATAAAGAATTAGTCCCTGTTTACTGACCTCGTACACATCATACGCATCGTGCAGATTCGCACGTTAGAGACTCTGCATTATTACATATATAGCACTTTATGCACTTAGAGATTACCTGGATGCACCGATCCGAGAGTATAGCTATTTTTTTTTTTTTTACTTTTTTTCAATGAAATTTACCAGAAAGTTACCGGAAATTTATGTTTTTACCAAATTCATCATTTTTATTACTAAACCACTGCTATTTGTGATTTTCATATCCATAAAATTTATCGGCCCGAAATCTTAAGCGTGCTGTAGTGCAATTTTTTATTGCACGTCTTATGCTTATCTTTCCGTAAACGGAATAAATGCAAATCGTCTGTATGTATATGCCCAGTATGGTTTTGCTTGGTAAAATGTTAATTTAACTAGAGATTTATCGCGATCCCTTCTGGCATCAAGAATTACGATTAACGTGGATGACTCGCAGCATCTAATGCTCGGACGGACTCTGACGCGGTTACCGGAAGTTGTACCTACGTGTACCTGCCATTGTGAGGCTTGTTTTATATTTGTGTGCGATGGGTGATGCCTGCTCTTCCTGTCACATCTTATTATCATAATACGACTGGTAATTACGACAATTAGCATTCTCGTTAGGGAAATTGTTATTTATGTATATACAAGAGTGAATGAGCTCTGTATATAAGTTTCCGCGTTTCGCGTCTACGGGAAGAGCTGGCGAACGAGGGAATTTCAGTTTTCTAGACTTTTGGTATATCATTACGAAAATTAACGTAATTTGTGGTCTCCGCGTTACGCATAGTAAAACTCAAAATTATCGTTGCCCGTATACACGATTTCTCGGGAGACACGATGGCGTGTCCTATGCAGTAGGATACACGATTTCTCAGAAGACATCCTTTTGGGAAAATAAAAAAATTATATGGACGTGTCATTAAAACGGGACCGGATAGGACTAAAAGGTTTTTGGTAAGTGAGTCAAATGATTTTTGGGGAAAAAAAGATGAGAAAAAAATTTTTCAAAATTATGAGAATTTTTTTTTTTAAACTAATGCGTTTTTCCGTTTAGAATTTTAGCGTTTGAAAGTTCTTTCCACCACCCTGCGTGTATTAGATATTTGTCACAATGGGCCAATTATAAATTCTCGGACGATAAAGTACAAATAATAGCCGTGACGCTAGAACGACGACTAGTAATGAGATAACGAACGTGCCAGTGTTGAAGCACCGGTAGAACGTAATATGTAATGTAATGCGTCGCTCATTTTGTAAATTGTAATTGGCACGATAATCATTGTCTTCTGCGGATATGATGCTAATAGAGCGAAGTGTCAGCCGGTCGACTCGGCTTTACTCGACTCGGCTCGACTCGGCACACACGACTTTGGTCCCTTAGTCGAGTCAGCTCGACTCGCTCATTAGTCATCACGCATCGTATTGTTGCCTCTGTTATGTGACACGAATTATTATAGACTCATACGCGAATTATACTCGTTACACCTGCCTCATAACTTAATAGCCAGCATATAGCTTGAATGAGAGAGGATATTACAGTGGGCCATGTAGATATGGCAGATGTGTATATAGGTATATATACGTATATGGTTTTTGTTGAAAAAACGTTATTCTGATTTTTTATAATTTTTACAATTATGTCTTCCGTGTTTTAGAATTGTCAAATTTTGTATGTGAGGTATAGTGGTGTTCTGTCCAAATTTATAGAGATTTGAATAGGTTTTTTCTTTTCGAAATTGAATATTTTGAAAATTTTCAAAAATGTCTCACAATCTCAGAGAATCGTTAATGTACGACTGCAATTATAACCTCTTTTTGGTTAAGACTATGTTGCCGAATGTTCGTAATGTACAAGGTAAGTTGATTGTGGTTGATTGATATTTTGAATTTTGAAATTATCGTTGACTTTCATTCCAGACCGACAGACTGCTGTTAGGTGGTTAAGGTTTTTGAAAAATTGTGCCAAAAGTATTGACGAGATGAGACTGAGAAATGACTTTATGTATTATTTGGTATTGAATGTGCAGGAGGGTGTTTTGAAGGCACCCTTCAATAAACCACCCCCGAATGCACCTCTGATGTCGATAGCCAGTCTTTTGGTAAATAAAAAAATTGATTTTGAAATTAAATGGAAATATTATCATTATCATTGCCACAGCCAGGTACGACTGATATTTTGGAAGAAGGCGATACGAGTAATGAAAAATTCGGAAAAATCGATCAGACCGCAAGTGGAGTCGCGGGAATACCCAAAAAATCTCAAATAATGCAACGCTCTCCGGACGGGGGTGAATTTTTGGCATCTCAGCCAATACCCGACGTCGGTGCTTTCTGTTACATGGCTGTGATCACTAAGAAAAGAAATTAAAATAATTTCTAATAAATGTTCATTAGTCTTTTTCCAAATTAATTCCGCTCGCTATTGTCATTAATTAACGATACTACTACTGTACGTTACTGCCGGTTGAAATTACACATACGATGGTAGATGTACCAATCTACGAAAAGGGGAAAAAAATATCAAAAAAAACAAATGGAAAAATAATACTCATCCAATAACGTGAAGCATTTAATTTCCAAGGAGCGAAGATTGACTGGGCCCCGAACGGGCCCAGTTAGAGACGAAGACGTGAAACCCTCGGCTTTACGATTCATTAAAATACCATCTCTTATGCAGCGGCTAATTACGCTTTAAAAGAAAGAAAAGACGAAAAAAAAATTTCGTACATTATGAATTTTTTTTTTTTTTTTTTTCACCAAAATCATCGAATAATCCAATCAATTTCATCTTGGCTAATTTTTCAGAAAAAAAAAGTCTTTGCCTTCTCGACTATATAAAGTATCCAAAAGGAATAGAATGTATAGCACAGAGAAAAAAGAAAATTGAGAAAAAAAACGAAATAATTCTACAAAACATAACCTGCAAATTTGAAGAAGATGAACGCAGGTAACTGGTACCGGTATATGGACCTCGTAACCATATCTCATTTCATAGCTCGAACAGTGAGAAGAGTGAGATGAAATGAGCAGAATGAGGATACCGCGTATAAATGAGTAAGAGAGCGAAAGCAAAAGGTGCGATGTGCCGTCGAACGCAAAGCCGTGGCAGATTCGGTTCTCCAATCTTCGTCTCGGCACTTCAGACGTGGCCGACGCCGCCTTTGCGCATCGAACTGTCCGTGCAAATTTCAATTTTAACTGCTAATCTGCCAGCTAATAGCCCCCTACTACATTGCCAGGTTCTATGACTCTACCGAACCTCCCTTGACCACATACAAGTCCATTCACTCCCACGTATGGAGATGTGTGATTTTACCAAAAATACCAAAAAAAAAAATAGGAAGCTATTTTGCGAATTTTTTGAATTTAAATCATTTTTTTATTATACAATAGGTATATTAATCTTTGGACTCAATTTGAAGCCATGCTTCTCTGTAATGACTCATAGGTACCAAATTTTCTAAGGGTTGCCCGTGTCTAGTTTGTATATTGAATATTGACGGAGAACCTGGCAACCCCATAGAATTTTAAACTATGAAAACCTGTTTTCGCGATTCAGGCTGACGACCTCGAATCCTTTGGTATGCTATTGCACAGGATACGCTACTTAGCATACGTTGACCTTTCGGTTGGCAGGGTTCAAGCGCGAAATGGGCAGCGTGTCTAAGGGAAGGTTTAGAAAAAATTAATGAAAGAACACGGCCAAAGTGTGAAACGAATCTTGATTTTATCTTTTTTCATCGATTCTCTTTAAGAATTTACAGTCCATAAGTCCTGAATATCGAAAAGCGAAAAATACGTCTGCTTAATTAATCGTGCCCTGGAATTTTTACCGGATCCTTTTTTTTTCTAATGGTGGCTGCCCTGTCATTCACTAAGGTTATTTTCCCAGATGAAAATTCTATGAGAATTCAAAGCGAAGAATAAAAAAAAAACAGGTAACGGGGGATCCAAAGGAAACCTGGCGAGGTAAGTCAGCGGGGTTTTTTTTTTTTACTAGGGTTGGCGCTGTGATAATTATACCTTTTTCAAAAATCGAACACTGCATTTTCGATTTCACATAATAATAACATACCCCGAGAGTTACCAGAGGCACCTAACAACCAGTATTACGAAAAGTCGTTAAAAGTGAAAATTTTAAAAATCCTCAAATAAAATTATAAATTTTTAAATTTTATCGACCTGTGCCAAATTATTTTACAATTACATGCTTAATCGTCTCGTTCCTGCCACTCGATGCACTAGGTGCATTGTGCAAGGTAGCAACACAAGTGCATTTCCCTCAAGCGGTCTGTAAGGCTATTTATCAAGAGGCCGGTAGCTGGCTTGTATACTTAATAAAATCAAGATTAATATTCCATCTTATGAAAGACGTCAACACTGCTACTACCCCCTATTCCTGCGCGTCTCCTACTCAAGAGATATACGTATATATATATATATATATATATATATATATATACATAGTGCGTATAAACACTGAAGTTACTATTACGTATATCGTATTTTCCCACAGACAGTATTACTATATATTTCTATAAATACGTATACCTATATCTCTTCGAGACTTCTCGCACACTTCTACCCCGATGCGTTGCCACTTGGATGATTTATTGCAATATTTTGACGTGGAATATATAGAAAGATGAATTGACCGGCGACTCTTTATGACTGGAACTTTGCCACCCTCCGCCACCCTCCATCCCTTTTCCAAAAGCCATAGTAAACCCCACCATGCACGGCCACCGCCATCCACCAAAAAAGAAACTCCATAAACGATTCTCTCCCCCCACTTCCGCCGCCCATGGACCATTTTTTTCTAATTTGGATATTAATCATGCCAGCGGCACAGTTCAGGAAGTTCCTATGAATGCAGGATGGATAACAATTTTTTTTAACTTTAATTTTTTTATATCGTCCTTAACTGCTTCTGTATTTTAATTGAAAGGCGTTGATATTTATTTTTGAATTTTTATAACCCAACACGCGTATTAAAATATATTTATTACACGATTTATTTTAATTAATTATACGTATGCCGAACTTTTTTTTCGTTTTTCCTTTTTTTTTCCTTTTTTTTTTTAATTAACTGTCGATTGTCTATTTTGACGCAGCCATTGTCTAGGCAATTAACGCCAACACAGCATCCACGACTAATTATCTAATGCAAGTGGTACGAGGCACATGTGCTTTCTAGGCACATACGTACGCATATGAATGTCTACTTGTTCATAGAGAGATTGGCGCATTTCCATCAGTAGAGTCTTGCGTATTAAACCAGAGCTATTAGGACTGGTTCATTGTATTCAGATAGGAAATTGTCGCTGGCTTTGCAGATGCAACCTGATTATGCATCCTGATAGGCAATTTCGCATGACTAATGAAAGGTCGGGGGTTCGAAACCAAGGATTGTCATAATTTTTTTTTTTTTTTTTTTTTGGTAATTTTACTACATAATATATCTCACAAGGGATGCTGTTTGCTGAATAACCGGTGGGTGGATATTTTTTTAATCTTCGATTTTTATGGGTAAGATAAACGTAATGGGGTCGTTATTGGGTACAGGGTATAATCTTTTGATCACGTACTGTACCATTCAGTCACCCTACTGTTATATTTTATTCACTTTTCGGGAAATTACAGGCTCCGCTGTACGTTTACCTACTCGACCAACTGTTGGTCCATGAAGGTAGAGAAAAAAAAAAGGGAGCAAAAAAATAGCGCGACCAACGCCCAATCTCAATGGTCCATTGTATCTCTGTAGTATGCAGATGTCCCATCCGAAAGTACTTTTTTTTTAATCCTCACACAGTCCATTCAATATTTGCATGAAGATCGAGTAACCGTGACAAAATCGATGGGCAGATACTCAAACGATTTTATTGAGAATGACAAACGACAATATCCCTCTGTATTAAACCAACGTGTTTTCCTATAGCAAAGCATTCTTTATATAAGAGTACAGCTACCGGCCTTCATTTGTTTACGATATTTTTTTTTTATTTTCCTAGTATTACTTTTACGGTTCCGCTCCGGTGTCTACGATCCTAAGTTTCTTTTTCCCTATTTTTCCAAAAATTCAGTTCCGTCCTATAATGGAGATTTTTACGAGTATCCACGCAGTATCATAAATTCTCATAATTCTCTCGAGCGCTTCACGAAGAGCTGTAATACTTTGTTAAATCTCCACAGAACCGGAAACCGTCATTACATCCTCAACGAGTACACCGAATGCTATAGCGCGGATAAGGTATACTCCAGATGTCACCGTGCGAGTCCGTATGAAAAAAAAAGCCAGAAGAAAAAAAGAAACGGCAAAGGGAGAAAAACAAAGGAAAAAGAAGATCCCGTAATCATTTTACTTGGAAACGTAGCAATCGCGCAGAATGCCCGTATCTCGCAGCAACCCGCTTTATATCTCTGCTCTAATGCGAAGATGACACGCGAGCAGCCATGAGACACCGTAGTTGAGTTCTTCCAAATAAACGGAGGCTCTGCCTAGAACGAATGTACGATCCGCGATAGACTTATTAAAATCCACGTGGTTAGTCGGGGGTAGAGTGCGTGACGTATAGGGGCACAAACGTCACCTTGAAACGTCAAACGAAAAAAAAAAAACAATTCCACGTGACGAGGAGATAAAAGAAAAAGTAATTGGTTAAAAATCGTGAGAAAAGTTGAAACGATGGAATGTCGGAATGAGGTTAAAGTATCTGAAAATTGACTGACGACGTGTAATTAGCATAGATAGCCGCAACATCCTCTCGGTATAATCATACGTGTCATACGTGTCATACGTGGCAGCGGATCTTCATCTTCTTCTTCCAACGTCTTCTTCTCCGACTTTTGCCCGACTTTTGCCTCGCTAATGTGAAAACTCGGGACGTTAAGTGGCTCAACTAGCGCGAGGGTCTTTGATGCGTGCCGCACCTCGTGAGTATGTGTACCTTGAGCGTCCAGTTGCTTGGTAGATCGTTTCACGTATATACGTATTTGGATGTATACCAGCGCGGAACTTGGATGCTGGATGCAGAGGAGAGCGCTTCTGGAGCATCAAGCGCCATTTACCATTTCTTCCACGAATGTCCGTTTACCATTGCGGATAAAAAATTTATCTCTATACACTGTGTGCACGTTACACACGTGCATGTCCGTTTGACAAGTCGATTCTTTATTATCGCATTATCTAATTCATTATTTCACACAGTAATCATTATACTCGTATATTTCATCCGGTATACGATTGTGAGATGAAATTTTTTATTATCTCGTCATATAATCTTTATCTACTATACGGCTGCTGCACTCCGATCCTGACTTTATATATATATATATATATATAAAAGTAAATCTCACTAATTTATTACG